AGAAAAGGACATAATTGAATTATCAAAGGATGACAAATCATCACTGTAAATAGATGAAACAGCATACAGAGATGGTTAGAGTGGCTCAAGGTCACACAATATAATTAAAAATTTTAATTTAATTTAATTTAATATTTAAAAATAATAATAATATAAAACTTTTTTTTTTTTTTGAACAAGGGTACATGAGATGGATAGAACCCTGTCCGGAGGTGAGAGAATGCATCATGTGATAAGAGACCACTTGGCCCAAGGCCAAATATATAAAACTTTTTCTTTTGATCAAACGCCCTCACAAAATTTAATTCAAAGTGGGACAAAGATTAGAAGTTGATGGAGAGTGCTCACTGATTTGATTTTAATTGACTTCGATTTTTCAAAATAAGATGATAAGAAAAATCGAGCCTTTATCATTATCATAAAAAAAAAAGGACATAATTGAACTATAAGAGGATGACAAATCATCACTGCAAATGGATGAAACAGCATACGGGAATTGTTAGGGTGACTTAAGGTCACACAATATAATTAAAATAAATATTTATTTTATTATTAAAAATAAATAATAATAATAAATCTTTCCCTTTGATCAAACGCCCTCACAAAATTTAATTCAAAATAAGATAATGCGTACAAGTTGATGGAGAGTAATCACTGACTTTGATTTTTAAAAGTAAGGTGATTAGAAAAATCAAGCTTTCATCTTTATCATCAGAAAAGGACATATTTGAATTATGAGGGGATGACAAATCATCACTGTAGATAAATGAGACAGGATAGGGGGGTGGTTAGGGTTGCCTTAAGGTCAGATAATATAATTTTAAAAAATATTCATTTTATTATTAAAAATAAATAATAATAAAAAAAACCTTTTCTTCTAATCAAAAGCTCCCTACAAAATTTAATCCACAACAGAACTAAAGGTACAAGATGTTGGAGCGTGCCCACTGACGCGACTTTAGGTGACTTTGATTTTTCAAAGCAATGCAATAACAAAAGTAAGTCTTTACATTGCTCTGTTTTAGACAAAAAGTAAGAAAAAAATTGCTTTTAAGAAGAGTTATTACACTTACCCTTAGCCCCTTTCCAACTACTGAAAAGGGGAAAATAGCCATATTAAAAAACAAATCCGAGGAAAAGAGTATCACAAAAGTGACACAACCGCTCATTTTGGCTAAGTTTCAAAGCATAAAGGACCGAAAGAAAACTGGCTACATAGTTGATGAACCAACCTTGCTGTTTTCTAGACATTTTCTTCCAAAGTTCTCATCAAAAGGATGTCTTGTGAGTTGATATCAAAATGTAAAATCTACATTTCACATCCTCAATGTAAGTATTCAATTGCCTTACCCACTCCAAGGGCAATTTTAAACAATCTTTGCCAGGTTAAAGATGTGCTATTTTCACTGGTAAAATATGATTTTATCCAAGGATTCATTTGGTATAAAATCATATACAAGAGCTCGTTTAGATCTCTCCTTGCAAAATCTGATTAGTCACACCACATTAACATGATGAAACCTTCCAATGTCCTCAAATCTCTCCTAAGTGGATAAGTGTTTGACAAAATCAATGTATTATAGTTAATTCATACGAATTCAGTGAAGCTTTTCTTTTGTAATTTTTCTTTTTTCAAATGTCTTGGCACATATGTGAGAGAGCTGAATGCATTAGTCTTTGGATTCACTTAAAAAAGAATATTACTGTTCATGTAATAAAGGATGATGGAACATTAATCTATCTCTTGTTATCCAAAATGGAAACTGATATTGAGGCCTACATAGGAAGAAGGAACACAGTGCTTGCTCTGGCCTCCAGCAGCAAAACATCGGGAAATATAAGACAGCACGGGACTTGAGGTCATTTACTAAATTAATGAATATTAAATAAGAGTCTCTATTTTGTAGTTTGATATAATTCTTACTACAAAATAATTTTTATTTGTTTTATAAGAAAGTTTTTCCCCTTCTCTTTTTTTCTTGTTTCTTTTTAATCCTTCAGGACCTTTTTCATGATTTTTATTTTATTAAGTTTTTGTCTATTCCATTAACCGAATGCACCCAAAAGGACCTAAACTTACTCTTTCAAATTAACAAAATAACTTTTAGACTATGGTTGTAATTTTTTATTTATGATTTTAGTTACCAAGATTATTAGTAATTCAAAACCAAAATTAATTAATTTATAAAACTTGTAGCTACCAATTCTTAATATATTTATATATAT